TGGCAAATAATTGATCTGCTTGCCATTGACAAATCATGATATTTTGTGATAACCGAGTTCAATAAATGTTTATTTCTGCTGCGTGCAGACATCTACAAGCTATTTCTCTTCGCTCGTAAAATAGTCTGTCCGCAGACTACGTCAGAACAGCAGGTTTTACTAAGAATTTCACTTATTTGGCATGTCCGTTGTAAACTGAAAGCACACATATATCTCACGAAAGAGGTTAAATAACTCGTCTTATTTCTCAAAATGACGTTTTTATCTAGATTTTATAATTTCGAATATTTCTAAGGTGAGTTCCCCGGTGCGCTTCAGATCATTTACATTAACAGGAGCTACAAACCTAAAAATAACCTTGCTGTGTAAAAAGGCTGTTAATTCATGGCTCATGACTTCTCCTTGTTATGCGCTCTTGACCGAACTTTGTAGAGAAGGCATAGAAACGAAACTAGGAGGTCCAATAAGGAAGGCAGTTTTTCACCCGCAAAACTCTTTCCTGTCCTAGGGATATACGACCCGCTCTTAACCTGGCCGTTCAGTTATCGTACCACGTTTTATCTTTTGGATCAGAACGCAGACCTTGCCAAAAGAAAACACATCACGTTTTCAGTAAAACCGAACGTCTGTCCTGAAAACGAGCCGTTTCTTGGTCGACCCAAGACCAACAAAAACCCCAGCTTTGGCTCTGGGAAATTTGCTTCGTACGAGGACATCGAAAACGGAGAGTACGTCAAAGACAACACTATATTTATCAAAGTTTGCGTGGAAAATGATGGAATGAGTGAACCTTGATCTTCTTCCAGAGGAAGAATGGAACTTTCTTACGTCGTTCTATAACTCAGACGCAAGGGCTTCTGGGATTGTTTGGGTAATCTCTGATAAGTTCAAAACGGTTGCGACAGCACCTCTCCCCACTCTCCTCGCAGCTCGGGCAAGCCTTGGATCACTCTCCTTCAAATATAAAGAAAGAATCAAGAATTTTAAGATCTCTCTCTCGCTGAAGGGGGTGTATCTAAATTTCAATGGAAGTCATCTGTTTTAACCTGATCGAAAACTCGCTTGCGTAAGTGATGGACTTTCTTCGATCATTGGCATAAGATTTACTCTATGTTTTAATTACAACGTTTCAAATGCTATTAACAAGTTGTCCCTCTTTCCAAAACGCTATGTCAATAAAAGAGAAATTCAAGATAATTTAGAGTTTCCCTTTGAGGCAAGTGTAACGTGTAATCCTACTGTACAAAAGAGTGACGAGCATTCGAATTCTCCTTACAATATTTATATATCGTCAAGCAAGAGGTGATGAGAATAAACAAAATGATCAGTTAGGGAAACACTCTCATGATGTACCACCAGCAATCAGGAATTAAGGAATGCTAATTTAAGCTCCTTGCATTTTTTTGGAAACCATCTTGACAAGTTATAAGAGCCCTGCCATAAGTTACATTGTTGTGTGTAAGTCGGGTGGCAAATGTTTATCCCAACATGAATTTTTACACTCTCAAACCTTAACTGATTGTTACCGAAAGATCGTTTCTTAAGAGAATATAACTAGTTCATTTTCTTGATAAATACTGCATTCTTATCTCAAGAATTCCATACATTACATTTAGCTGAAAAGCAGTTTTCAATTGAGTGTCGTAAAACCAAAACCAAAGTAATCACTCTGGCCAATTACAGATAGGACACAGGAAATCCATTGAACCAGTCAAAGCTGGAAAAAATGACATGTAGCTGACGCAAAGCGCGGGAAAACGCGTGCGGGCGAGTCACGATTGGTTTTGGTTTTACTTCTGATGGGATAAAAAAGATGCGCAAGTTTTTTTAAGCCAATCGTGTTGCGTAGCTGATGCAGAACTAATTACTTATTAACACTCAAATGAAAAACGCTCCAATTATACGGATCAAAATGTACACTGTATTAAGACCAAGTTAGGATAAAGAGTAAGAGAGTTAATTCCCCATATAGACTTTATTCCCAAAGTAATTCCTCTCAAGTTATTTTTAGATCACTTCCGGTTTCGGAAATCCCAAGAGGGTCTGGTAATAGCCAATCCTGGGAAGCGACTTTTGCTCACGTGGACAGTACGAGCGGCTTTCATCATCCGTCCTTATCGTGCCAGGGGACGCACAAGGCCTTACAAGCGCCTTTACAGTCGTTTTAATCCTTCACGTATCGCATGTGGTAACGTTATCCACGGAAAACTGGATGCCATGTCTTAAAATAACTTGAGATAGAACATCATGAGAATAAGGCCATTAAATCCCTCACCCTTCATCTTCTCTTGAAAAAGAAAATGCTAAACTGAATGGCTTCCAAGATGTTCGTATTACCTCATGCACTCAGTTAGCTAATATATTTACTTAGTTATTTTGAAAAGTTCCAGTTGTCAGCTAAGTGCTTAAATAAGAAATATATTCCCGGAGGAACACATTTCACAAAACATACTCTCATCTCTGACAAGCTTGCGAAAAGTCAGATACCGTCTAAATTAACCTCGGAAAGGTATAATTTTCTAAACATTAACTGAGCTAATGGATCTCTTAAACATTTTTTCCATTAAAATTTCAGTCAACACCCTCTATTTATTTTGTGCGCATCCTATTTTGGCGAACAAAAACTGTTGTTAAAATGAAAATGAACCGATTTTGATTAACTTGATTAACTGCCCGCCTTGCCAATTAGCGTACTTAAAAAAGTGTAGAATTTTCCCAAATATAGTACGCCAGCAATAATTAGACGCATTACTAAAATAGGCTTTTCAGAGAAATTTCCGCCCTACGCCTGTCTTTCAATTAAGGGTGCGTTTCTTTAAAAAAATCCAATCCTGGATTTTCTTAAAGAAACGCACCCTAAGATAACAGTATACATTTAATAAGGCGAGCTTTAAAATCAGAATCAATTATTGATGAGTTCTGTCGTGCAGCGCAAAAATGGTTAATATCAGAGACAGAAAATCTTCTTGAATATCTTTCTTTGAAAAGAGAAATAATTTTTTTTTCCGCAATCCAAACACTGTTTTGGTAGTTAAAAGAGCGGTCAGATCTCCCTTAACTATCTTTCGTGAAAGTAGACAAAATATGCAAGATTACAACAATGAGGTTAATTGCTGAAAAATGACAGTTTTTCCGTGTTTGGTGAAATAATCCATTATAATATCAAGATGACTTAAAATTGTCAAAACTTACTATATAACGGACTTTTGTTTCATTGCAATAGTCATGCGAAGATGTAAGACACTACGACGAAATACAAGCAGTGAAGGACAAATTATACATGAAAGTACCTTTGCAACGATAGCGTAAACTCTTTCGGGTTCGGATTATCTTCGTCCGACACGAGACGTAGCCGAAGGCACCTGACTCGTTTCCAGTTGTAATTAGACACGAAACATCAGCTACGTCAGCTGATCTTAGCCACTTAATGAGACATGCATGACTCAGGTTTCTTTACTTTTTCCAATGTGCCAGAGAACGTCGCCTCCTGATAATTTTCAATCATCGCATGAGGCTTCTCTACGATTCGAGAAGCAATCCAATTTGCTCCCTTTGTGGTGGTCGACATTCCTTCACGTATTTACCTCGATGACGTACATATAATTCCCATATGGCGATTTATCTGTTTAGCTCGTCCCCTATGTCATGTGAGACATAAACAGAATTCTTCTTAACTACGAAGAATAAATGTGATACCAGACTGAATCCTTCAAAGCTAAAACACTTAAAAACACTCCAAAGATGATAATAAAATCTTTTAGGCCTATCTAAATCTTTAATTTGTGTTTGTCGTTACAACGGGGAGATACTCGTTAGGATAAAATGTTTAAAAATAGCTTGAACTTTGCCTTTTCACTTGTTCAGTAGACCCCATGAGAAAGTGTCTTTATTTTGAAAGCCACACAGAAGTACTACAGAAGACTTCAGGTTGCTATAAACAAACGTCCTGCATCGAATCAGAATGGAACACTGCTCATACCGACCTTGAACTTGAAACATAAATGGTTGTTGCCTAAAGGCAAGTTTTGAAATTATCTTCGCAGTAGTTGCCATGAGCACGTTTTTTATTGTTTTGCGAATATACACCTATGTAATGTTAGTGATGTGTAGATGTTTGTGAATTTTCATTATATCTCGAGAGTGTTCTATTTATAGCAAATCCCAAAAATGGACGGCTTAGAGGTCTTTCAAAATTATCTCTTAGAAGAAAGACTTCGGGTTTCCGCTAGGCATCGCTTGTGATCACGAATTGGAAATACTGCAATAAAAAAGCCTACAACACAATGCTATCCTCGATGTACAGCTAGAGAAAGAAGATTGGGTGAATCATATTTAATACACATCAATTAAAACCTAAATTATTCGCTGGTAAAAATTTCTGCTCTCAGTTTATTTTGTCAGTTCAGCATGACAACAAATACATAATTCTACATAAAACACTGGACGTGATTAGTCGAGCCGCTGACGTTCAACGGGGGCAGGTGAATGCCGCATGGTACCAGCGCTGTGATTGGTCAGATTTTGAACTTTACTGGAAGCAGGTGCTGTTGCGGTTAAGTTGGTTTATACAAGTTGCGCTCACGGTTAGCTTCTTGCGGATATCTAACGATTGAAGTTACGATCTTTTGAGTTGTTTAACAAAATGCCGGACATTGGATCCAGCCAAAACGTAAAGACGGCCCAAGAAACTCCACAGTTGAACGGAAATGCCGGCCAAAATGGTGAGAAATATCCCGACAATGAGGTAAGAGATATTTCGAATCATTGACTTATTGCATCGTTAGTTAAATTTTTCCCCTTGCGAAAATCATGGAGATCTTAAAGCCGACGCCGATAACTATAGCTCATTATCAAATTCAAGTTTAAAGTGGTTATTTTGACGAGGGGAAGTCCAAGAAACGAACTTTATCGTAGAACTGGAAACTTCAGGTTAAGATAGTGAAGTCTTGAAAATCCCCGTGCAACTAAAAATGGTCGGTTATATTTTACACTTAGATGCAAATAAACGACTCGCAATGTGTCAGCTGTTGAGTAGCTTGTTGCGGGTATTTGGTCTGGCCTGGAATTTTCACGCCGAATCTTTGCGATACTGGAAATTTCACTGAGTGATAACGACTTGCTTTTATGGTCTTCTGCGATAACACTGCATATTTACCAGTTTGATCCCCGCGGGGTTTTTCCACGGTTAAGTGGAAGTTCACTGAAAGGCAGTTTTTAAATGCGATAGAGTAGTATAAGTTCTATAGGCTAGGGCGGTTAAGACTGATACTGCGAGACGCCTATTTAATTGTAACAAGATGATGGTAAGACTGGTAAGATTTGTGACTGTTTCCTCGTACTACACTCCGGTCTCCAACAGGTCCACAGTTTTAGCAAGTTGATAACTTGTAACGGTTTGCAAAAGTACACGACTTTTTGTCATATGGTACATACTGTGTGTTCTCGGATGGTCGTTAAGCCATCTCACGGACGAGATGAAGTTATTTCACTGTTCGCCTTGAGCACATTTTAATCCCACTGCGATTGCAACTGTTGCTGAAATGTTAGGCTACCGTGTTACGACTATTTTTAAACGTTACCTGGTCGCCATAACAATTTATTACAGCCTTGGTCGACCTTTGAACAAATTGCGCAATTTGCGTACTGTTAGGGTAAGAGCTTCATTTCTGCGGATTGATCTGAAGACGTCAAAATAATAAAATAATTATTGACTGATGTCTGCGAACACGAAAGTTTTTCCGGAGATGGAAACATTCTGTTCATGATGTATTGCGAAACTGAATGACTTTGTGAATGGGAACGATCCAGTTTCCGCAGAGTTTTAAATTCGTTTCCTTGAGTTTTAGATTTCCTGTTTTAAGATGTCTCCGTTATTGATTTCCAGCCAAGTTACTTCGTTGGACTTTTTGCAAACTTGGTTATTTTTAAAAAAATATTTGTGTTCGAGAGCAGCATAACCAATATCTTCAGTAGGAGTAGAAAACAACTTTCGAGGTCTAAAACAAAATTTAATCCTTTTGTGAACGAACCACAAAAGCGCAAACTTTTCCCAAGTCAGCCATAAACTAATTTACTGGAACAACGCACTTTATACGCCAGAAAAACAAAAACTAAAATAGTATAAAGGCACTAACTAAAACAATGTTTTTTTTGCGAACTCTGTTGATTTGGATTTTATGACTGGCAACATCTCAGCAAATTCCTTTGTTTTCGCTTGATATTTTAGGGTTCCATCAAAAATATATCTTTACCTCAAACCGGGAAGCGAAAAGCAAACTCAAATATCATGACTACATTCAGATTTCTGCAGGATGTTATCATTTCTCACAGCTTTTGTCCTTAACTACCTCCGCAGTGAATTACCTGATCTCCCACTTACCACTCGTCCGTTTCCCGCCGCTAAATATTATTCAGTTTTTAAACAATCGATCAAAGTTCATTAGACTTTCAGATTATTTGTTACCATGAAAAGTGAGGCTGGACGTCATTGCAAGAGAAAACGAACGTGAAGTTACCAGGGCAGCGTGTATGCATTTGACAATGTTAGTTTGCGGCGAAAAAATATCAACTGTCAAAGCGGACAACTCGTGCGTGGTAAAGTTGTTTCCATAGTAAAGTGCTCTGCTTTTGAATGGCTTTCGCTCCCGCAGCTTTACATTTAGTATGCGATACTGATTGACACTCGAGAAACAACTGTCGGTCTGTAACCAATGATATCAGTTCACTGAAAAGGTCCCTATTCAATTATTTATCACAGTTGATTGACTAGCAAAACTCCACTTTTTAACGAATACTCTCCGTCGATCTTTATATAAAGGCGTCCGGTTACCACATGAAATGTTTATATCCTCCTTCCCGGCCCCTTAAGAGTGTTGACGTTTTCCTTTTTCGCGACATCGAAGTGTAAAGAAATTGAATATGGATTCATCTTGATTCTTGTAAATATCAGGAAAATAACATGACCGGTGGAAACCAGAATCACAGTCCAACTGGAAGCGCCAGGTCGCGAGGAAGTAGCAGAGGGAGTCCAGCTCCGAGCTTACAGGAAAAAGAAAAGATTGATCTACGATTGTTCGTGTATCCCCTGGAAAAGAAATGTCAGTGTCCGATTTGCGAAAGCGTACTCCGTTATCCAGTACAGTTTAAGGAGTGCGGCCATCGTGTGTGCTCTTCATGTTTTCCCGAATTAGCAAGGTAAGTTCGTAGCTAAGTTTCGGTTTTCGTCGCTGTATTATTGTTTTGGCTTCGCGAGGAGCGATGCACTTTTTGTTAAAGTACCACACGGCTGCGGTTTAAATTTTAACACGTATTTGAAATTTGTCGGATGACATATGGCAAGATATTGCTCGCAGGGCGAATGGTTTTCAAATTTTATCCGCTTTCGGCCTGAATTTGCCCCGTAGAATTAAAAAATCTTGTGATAATTAATATTTCCATTATTGTTAGATACCGCTTTTTAAACGATCGTTTCAGTTTTTAAGAAATTAAAAATGCAAGGGATTGGACAAACTACAAGATTATTCTATTTGCGTCAATTTTTACAAAAACAAAAAAAACCCTGCGAATTGCGAAAGAGTTTATAACAATTGGAAGGAATACTGGACTCTTTTTAGCACGTTAATTTCGATTTGGTATGGGGAACTTTTAAATGGGTTTTATAGCCGCAAGGAATGAAACCATAAGCGTTCGTTATCCTAATTCAATGGTAAATTAATACAATTCAAAAGATTTAAATAACGAGAAAATGAAAACGCTCTTGCTTTTCGTTTTCCATCAGAGCTGATTTTGTTTTTGGATAGGGAGGGAAATATTTTGTTAATATTCTATACACAGAACGGAACTGACAGAAATTGACTTCTTTCCATGCAATGCGTAATTTATTCCCTTTACTGCGTGCAACACTCAGACGTTCGATAAACAAATAAAACTCAAATTTATGCAATTTTACATCCATTTGCTTTGAAGACTTAAACTTGAATTATATTTTGATTGTGGTTTCCCTTCCATTTAATCAGCTGGTTTAATTTTTGTCTTAAAATATAATACCTATTCTGTGCTTTTCTCTTCTCCCAGGGTTGAACCCCGTTGCCCAGTGGACCAGATCCCGATCAACAAAGATGACGTATGTAAAACGAGCGAGTGTGTTTACCGAAATATCGTGCAATGTTATATCATTCGTATTATTTCCTAAAAATATCTGGTATAAATGTGTGAATTTGATGCTGTTGTTATATAGTACATTATCAATCTGTACAGTTCTGTATTCGTTTCCAATACAAAGAACCGATTTATCGCTAAATCTATGAAAAAGGAAATGACGCAAAAATATAGATAGAATAGTCGCAAACATTTCGTTGTAAATGTATTGACCGGACAGGAAATCTTCCCGCGTATTATTTACTGCAAGACTTTCCTTATGACGAAAAATTTTGACAGTAATAGATCCAAACGAGGCTTTTTCACCGTTTGTCGAGCAAAGGTTTTTCGCTGATTGTTGGGAAACTGATGTAAATCTTGTTTTGAATGGAAACGTCGCTGACGAATCAACACCCTTATTCACATTTTTCAATATTGTGAAAAAGCCGCGTTCTTCTGGCATGTGAATCACTTTTGTTCGAGTGGGAAATCTAATATTCAACGTAACGTTGATCTATTTGTATCGATCAAGAATTAAATAGTGTTTTCATTTTTATTTCAAATTCTGCTTTAAATCTTGTTACATCAGGCGATGTTTCGAGCTCTTTTACGAGTTAATGGTTTATGAAAAACTGCAATGCTTAAGATATGAATCGGTCAGTTTCATGCTAAATGAAAACGGTGTCGGTCACTGCGATTGATTGGGAACTTTCCTCGTGAAACGTGGAAGTTCTTGCTTGAATTTTCAGATTTAATAGGTGTACAAACAAAGTGGATCGCGATTCATGATGGAAAATACTGAAAACCTACCCTTACGTATCCCCCGATCAGTTAAAATTTTGATCTGTCTTCCGATCAAAAGAGCTTGATTTGGCACTTTACCACTGCAGATGTTAATTGTGCCTTCACTTTGACAGGCCTACGTGGATAAGGCGTTTAACAACGAGATTCTGGCTCTTGATGTCAAGTGTAAAAACAATGAATGGGGCTGCAAGTGGGAGGGCGAATTTCAGAATTACCAGGTAAGCTATGCAGATTGTGTTTTACTAATTTTAGCTAATAAAAATAATTTTAAGGCAAGGAATCGCCTTTGTTATAAACACTGGCTAAGAGTTTTAATCAACGCGTCTTGTTGACGTTTATTTAAGTGCTTTCTGCATGCGTGGTAAATTGTCATTTGCTGTTCAAAAACAGTGGTTTGTTTGTCTTGCTCTCTAGCGGCGTTTCAGCATT